TAGATAGATATATATATATATATATATATATATATATATATATATGGATATGTTAATGCAATAGTTTTATTCTAATATAATGGAACAATCTTCAAAAACCATGCTAGGGGCATTTGTTTGGCCTCAATTTTTATATAGTTTTTTATTTTGATGAACTATCGCAAAAAAAAATGTGAAAATAAACCCCAAAAGGTGTTTTTAAACCCAATTAACATCAGCCATCCTTTTGGTAAGATGCTTCGATCTAAGCCTTGTAGCGATTCTTTTTCTTTTCCAAATTTTGTATATGGTTTTATTACCATTTGATGAACAATGTTAATAAAGAAAACATTGATTTTGAGTTTGTAAAGGCCTAGATCTCAAAGTTCACCAAATGGACGATTTGCATTCATTGTAGAAGAGGGACTCATTTTATGCATTTCTAGGGTACAAAATGAATTTTTCCTTTTCTTTTTGGGAGGTGGGGTGTTGATTGTTGCGATGAAGAAAGTCCATGCGTAAAAAAATTTGTTTTTGTTTTTTTTTTTTGGAGGTGGGGTGTTTGATTGTTGAGATGAAGAGAGTCAGTATGCAAAATTTGGGAACGTACAAATGCCACAAACATGGTTTTCTAGAACAGTGGTTTCATTATATTACAAGAATACTGTGACATGACATCACTCCCCACAAATACACACACATAGAGAGAGAAATCGTAGAGCATACCAACATGAGACGGAAGAACAGTGATGTGGGGATGCGAATGGTACCACCCTATCACCCTTGTAGTAGTGCCGGTAGCTAGCGTCATTCTGTGCTTTAGAATCAAGTCAAAATACCTTTTCCTCCATATGATACTTCAACTATCAAATCAAATATGCATACACCAAGCTTCAACAATCAGGTGAAAGTACTTTCTACATTTTGATCATCTTTATTTTAGTTAAAGTTTTTTGATAAATTGAATCTTTTTTCACTTACCCAACAAAAATTAGAACAAAAAATTAATGATTCTTAAAATTGTATACATGATATTAAAAAAGAAAAGCCAATTAATGTGAATAAGCTTTGAAAGGATATCTCAGCTTCAGCTGATGCAGCAGCAAGCTGCTCAGGATTTGTCTCAACGCGATCTTTGGAACGGTCAGATCGAGTCTGAGGTGAAGCACCCCAAATAAGTGCTGTTCCACCGCCATTGCTTGAATACTACAAAATTCACGCCCTAAATCAGCAATGCCAACTCTCCTCAATCACAATACATTCTAACCTATACAATCATTCTTTTATTTTCTAGAATTGATCCTAATAAGTAAATAAATAATTGCTGGAAGAACTAAATCAGAAGCTCAAATTAGTCATGAGTACACAATCATAACAAGAAATCGGCCTTTTGAGGGAATTCTTCAAATCAGTCTGACAACCAAGTAAGTAGACTCATTGATAGTAATTGATGCCATAGAACAAAGTGGGAAACCTAAAAAACACGAAAACATTGAGATAATCAAACCCACTTAAAATCAAATGCAAAACTTGAGAATCCGCATGAAACTTCAAGGAAAACAAGAGAGTTGAAACCCACACCAAGATTTGAACCAACAAATAAAAGTGGGGTAGTGCAAATAGTATTTAAACAATACCCAACTGATCCATGAAAACCCGAGAGAGAGAGAGAGAGATTCATTTGAATACAACAATAAATGGTGATTGATTTGATAATAAAATAAGATCATAGAAAAGACATGCCTTAACGTCTCCAAGCAAAAGGCCCATGATTTCCTCAGTTTCTGTAGAAAATGCATGGGTGAGACAGGTGAGCCAAACCTCCTCAGACATTATCACACCTGTTAGAGACATTGTTCTGAAATTTCAGGAATTGGGTCGACTCAAGTTCAATGGAGCTTTGATCTTTGAAGACTTGTTACACTGGGGTTCATGAGGGAATGTGAAGGAAACATTTGTTGGTCAGAGGCGTTTGAGAGAGAAAACCATGGTAAGGTTTTATTTACTGGTTGGGTAAGGTTTTATTTACTGGTTGGGTTAAAGGGCCACTTAGAGAGAGAGAGAGAGAGAGAGAGAGAGAGAGAGAGAGAGAGAGAGAGAGAGAGAGAGAGAGAGAGAGAGAGAGAGAGAGAGAGACGACGAGAGAGAGAGAGAGAGACGACGACGTACGACGACGACGTACGTACGTACGTCGTACGTACGTACGTACGTACGTA